AGTTTAGTAACTTTAGCATTATAGGATTGGTGTATACGGAAATAAATTCCAATAACCAATAAATACTATTCTTAAAAGAGTGCAGAGTAGAGCAAATATAATTATTTATTTGAAAATTATAACATATGTTGTAGCATATTTATGTTATAGTTTTCGAATATTATATTATATATATATATATTATATATTTATTACAGTTAAGTAACTTTATATATATATATATATATATATATATATATATATATATATATATATATATATATATAACCTATAAAGAGAGTTGTCAGGACCGGAGAAGAAGTCTCTTATATCTGGGTTTCTCTTATATCCGGGTTTTGTCTATTTTATATACATTAACACAGGCTCTAATTTGGGACCAGAGAAAATCTCTTATATCCAGGTTACACTGTATATATATATATATATATTACAGTTAAATAATGTTATCATATATATATATATATATTAATGTTATATAACTTTAGCATATATATATATATATATACAGTTATAACTTTAGCATATATATATATATATATATATATATATATACACACACATATATACTAGAAATAGGACAAAAGTGTGGTTTTTTTCAAGAAATGTTATTTTTGGTTAGTAAATAGATCAGCATGAACAATACAAATGCAGAAAGACTTTTCTTTTACACAAGTGTTTCCCCAAGAGCCACTCAAATTAGATTTACCAAGTGAAGTTGCTCTGTGAAAGTAAGGTAATCCATCACTTAAATGGAGTAAAATAAAATGTCATTCCCTGAATGGCGTAAGATGCAAAATATCAAAGTATATAAGTTCATTACAATTAAATATTATTACGATAGGTAATGGTGAACTATGCAGCAAATAAATGCTGAAAACATGATTTGCAATTTGAGTGATAAGCATCTGTTGCATCTAGATAGGCATTTAGACCAAATTACCAGTCACGCTGGTTGCAATGTCAGCTGTTTCCAATGAGTCATCATTATACTAATCAACGCAGCACAGTTATAAGCTTCCTAAGACAACTGCCAAGCTTCAATAAACACCAATGTTCTTGCAAAATATCTTCTCATAATAGAAATTCATTCAGATTAAGGATTGACTTGGCCTACCACGTGACATGACTGAAATGAAAGCTAAGTTTATTTCACGTCATTTAAGTGAAGTAGAAATTTGACAGATTATTTTATGGTGCTTTAGGGATTACCTAATCTTAAACTCTTCATATTTCAGTTCAATCATTATCTACTTTCAACAGTCCTCTATCTTGAGTGGCTCTTGGGCCATGTATTGGTTGAACAACATTTAAAAAAAAGACAAATAAAATAAAATTAGACACTTATGTTTTCCAAATTTATAGAAAAGATAAGTATATACATTTAAGTCCTTCAACCTTCATTTGGTTTTTATAATCTAGAATTTTCTTGCTTTGTTTATTAAAGCCAAATTCATTCTTCCAATCAGATCCTAATGTTTTTCACATTTAGAGATAAATAATAGAAATATCTACATTTAAGTCCTTCAACCTTCATTTGGTTTCTATAATCTATAATTTTCTTGCTTTGTTTGCTAAAGCCAAATTTGTTCTGCTAATGAGCCATTGTTATGTTAAACAACCCAGCACAGTCAGAGACTCCCTTAGATGATTGCCGCACTTCAATAAGCACCAATCTTTTTGCAAAATATCTCCTTGTGATAATAATTCATTTGGATCAACAATTGACTGTGTGGCAGTTGGTCTACCATGTGACATGGCTGTAATATAACAAGATTGTTTATTTTACGTTATTTAATCAAAGCAGAACTTTGATAGATTATTTTTATGGTGCTTACGTGAAGGATTACCGAATGTAAAAAGGTGGAAATAAGAAATTCAGATTATGAGGATATGCAGGATAGATAACAACTGACCCCTATTGAAGAGGTTAAGATTGTAATGATTGGGGGAGCATCATCTTGGGAGTTTGTTCTACAAAATAGCAGTTCTTGAGGGAAAAGCTGTCTGAATGGATGTTCTGACTTATCAATGGAATGTGAAGGTAAAGTGGAAATGTCGAGTCTTTGATTTTCTCAAATTGGTGACTGCTGTAGATAATTTCTTTTTATATCCGAGGAGGATATATTCCCAAAGAAAAATGGTACCATGGACTTGTAAGCTGCATGGAGAGGCAGATTTAGTTTCATTTAGCAAAGAAAAATGACTGCTTCCTGTAAACTGACTTAAATTGTCACTGTATGAAATGACATTAGTAAGTGGCCATCACATGACATTATCTTGACCAAATACCCTCAGGAAAGGTATGAATTCAGCTAGTCTACTCTCAGCTATTTACTAACTAGTAATACTTGTATCACTAAATCATTATTATTGTTAAAACATAATCTCGATCAATAAATTGAGTGATAGTACTACACGAAACAATAGAAAAATGATAATACTTAACAGCCTCGGATATAGGTTTCACAAGGCCAAGTTTACCATGGGTTCTCTGAGCCTATAGTCTTGGCCAAAAATATTCCCAGAGAACCCACATTAATGAGCCCTAGCCTGTCTACCTCCCCGGATGAAACTTTGCCCTTTGGCAAAGCCTCGTCCGGGTTCCTCTCTGCCCAAAGGCAGAGAGTTCAACAGCAGTTCTGAACAGTCACAGCCCAGTAGAACAATCTATTCAACTGTTCCCACAATAGAAAAATGTTAATATTTAACAGCCGCCACCCCTGAGAGATATATGTGGCACAAAGCCAAGTTTAACGTAGGTCATCTGAGCCTGTAGGCTCAGCCAAAAAATCCCCGTAGAACCCGCATAAACAGGTTCAGGTCTGTCTACCTCCCTAAACAAGACTCTGCCCTTCAGCACAACCTTGTCTGGGTTCCTCTCTGCTGAAGACAGACAATTTGACAGGAACTGCGAACAGCCTCAATAGAAAAAACTATATCAATGTCCCCAAACAACAGAAAAATGTTCACTGAGGAGAAATTTCAGTAAACTTAAATAATGCCTCAAAGAGTTAAACCCACTTTGGCAGGAAGGGAGACAAGCCTTCTACTGCTATTGCTTAGAACAAATCCATTAAACTGAGGAGCAGGTATCTAATATCTTCAGACATTTGTTAGCCAAGGATGGTGTGTTCAATCCTAGGTAGAACCACAAGAGTCAGCATAGTTAACAATTATTATGTAAAAAAAAATCTTACAATATAAAAATATTTCCTGTCTTTAAATAACCCACAAAGGGGTTGATAAGTTGTAAAAAATGAATAAAAAGAAAACTAATACAGGTGATAGATGAGGGGATTATAAAACCAACATTAATTTTGCTATTAAAATAAAAAATACAATTAAAAACAATCTTTTGTATTTTCTTCATTATTTAAAAAAATGTACAGATCCAAAGGCATCTCTTCTGCATGATCAGGGAAATAGAAAAGATTTTAATATGACACACATGAGGAAGTTTGAAAAACTCACTGGCTCAAACAATAAAAGCAATGATATTCACTCATATAATTCATTGAATCATGGCAAACACTCCCCTTGTGAAAACTCCAAACAGCATATAATCTCAAAATGAAATTACAAAAAAAATATTTCTGCAAACTTGGATCTTTGTGTCTGAAAAATAACAGTGTGTCAAAAGAACAATTTTTCCCATAAGTCTGTTTTTTATTTTAACTACCTTCACTCCTCGGCAATGTTTATTGTTTTAAAAAAAGGTGATTAGACTTTTAATCAAATTTAAATATATGACGAAAGTGAATTTATACATTTTTTTTGTTCTTGAGAATTTATAGCAAAAATATCAAACACTATTTATTTATTAGATTCTTTATTTACAAGAATAATTTTATATTTACAACATTCTAAAAACTAAGACAATTAGAACTAATGCTATATTTATCATTAAATTATTCATAAAGAAATAAATAGTTTGAATCAATTGGCAATTAGCCAATGTTTTGCCAACCATTCCAATAAAGAATATAATAATTAGTGGAAATAAACAATCTAATAAATAAATAATGTTTATTTATTTTTCTTGTCAATTCTCAAAAACAAAGAAAATGTATAAATTCACTTTCATGAGGTTTTATTCCAATTCTAATCATTGGTTTTTAAAACAAAAAACATTGCCAAGGAGTGAAGGTAGTTAAAATAATGGCAGTGTCATGAAAAAAAAAAAGTCTTTTGATATTGTTTTTTATAGGCATAAAGGTCCAAGTTTGTCAATATTTTAAATGGAACAAAGTAGATGAACATATTTCTGATGATTCAAAACATCCACCAATACAAGGTCTGTGTGCAAAATATATTGCCATTTTGGATATATCACAAACTATTTGCAACACGAGAAAAAATGGCTTACCTCTTGGCAGAAAACAGATGTGTCTTGCATGTAAAGTATCCCAAAAAGAAAATGTCGGCTTTACAAGTTGTATATCTAAGAAACGATAAATCTCAGAGTCCAATACATTTGTGAGACTCGTTTTTTTGCACCTGTGCAAATTTGACCTTTCACTCAAGCTACATAAAGCGCTTAAAAAGGTGAGGCGACAGAGCAGTGCAACTGTAGTAGCAAACAGGAGACACATATATCAGAATGTTTGACTTTGTGAGAGAATGAAAATAAACTAATAAATAAAATGACAATAAAAAAAAAAGAATTTAATTTTCCCATAATGCAAAAGGAAACCAAAAAGGTTTTCCGGTCACATGTGAATGTCATGACCCCACTTCTGGAAAGGACATGACCAGTCTCTTCTCACTTCCCAACCATAGAGTTTGGACGTGTTTGGTAGCTGTCTTAACAAAAGGGAGATTCAGTCACCCTCACCCAATGTCAGGCTGACATGAAATTGACCATTCTCAATAACTCCATATCTTTGTACCCACGTGCGTCAATAAACATTGGCCATTCATTTTCTAATCAAGTCTTCATTTTGTTTATTACACTCCACTGTTAGCTGTAAGAAGTCAATATCAACCCTCCACAACTTACGCTATACTATTTTGGTGTTAGCAAAGTTGACTGAGAAGCAAGAAGTCGTCAATTTGCAAAGAAGAAGAAAGAAAGAAAACAAGTGCTAAAACATAGGAATAAAAACATTGTACAGTGTAAGAGACCCGGTTATAAGAGAAACCTGGATATAAGAGAGATTTTCTCTGGTCCCAAATTAGAGCCATACTTACCTAAACAAAATAGACCAAACCCGCATATAAGAGAAACCCGGATATAAGAGACTTCTTCTCTGGTCCCGACAACTCTCTTATATCCAGGTTACACTGTAATAACAATTTATGATTTTCATCATCATGGATATAGAACAAAGATGTTGATTGGCTAAGATGAACCAATTGCCATTACTGTGAGACAGAATCCCCTGTCAATTTTGAGAAATCACTCACTTTTCCAGCCGGATGCCACAGAGGAAAGGATGCCAGAGAATGATGCTTATGGTATATAATCTGGTGCCCCAAAATGCAGCTTTTCATAAAATACTCACAGACAAAGAGTGTAACCAAGAAGGAATAGGATGACTTGAACTCTACAATGTTTCAAAAGAGACAGAGTACACGCACACACACGAATTATGTGTGTATTAATCAATGATTTTGTTCTAAGTCATCTTCAGTGAAGTGGGTTGTTTTTTGCATACAAACCTTAAAAAGATCCAAAGCAACCACTACAGTATCAAGTCTTTCACAATCTTTCATGTCTTGTGGTGAGCTTAGCGCAAAACTCTGCAGAACATATCAGCCTCCCATTGTACAATCCAGATATGTCTCCCCTTAACTTTCTTTTTCTCAAACTAAAATTGCCATTTAAACAACATGAGATTAAGGTGAACATAATGGTGCAGTTCAAGGAAATTCCCAAAGAGGATTAACAGCTTGTTTAAAAAAAATGGGATGTATGTTGGAATATGTGTGTAAGGTTCCAAAGGGAGTATTTTAAAAGGAATTAACAAGTTATTTTTTTTTCTTTAGTTCCTGTAAATGATCAATGTCAGTGTGTGAGCACTATTTACATTATTCAGACTATTGTCTTCATCTTTGTCTCCATATTTTTTATGTTTCGGCTGTTGTACGCTCTGGCCTTCAGATGGTTGGAATGTCGAACTGAAGCCTTTATTTCGCTAACTGGGATAGACTGTTCTAGTTCCACGAGCCATGTTTAATGGATGTCAGTTATCAGTTATCTCCTGTTAATTCACCTCTCCAAGTTCTCCACTGCTGAAACATTGTAATAAATATGGTGACAAAGATGAGGGCAATAGTTCGAATAATGTAAATAATGTGCATAATACCTCATCTCAAAAATATAGACAGATACAGAGGTTATCTTCATGAAATATCCCGTCGGCTACTCTAGGACAATCATTGCTTTTACTGCTTTGGTCAAAATCCAGAAATTGTCTAGAATGACTTTCAGTTTCACTGCCAGAGTAAGAAGACTTGGAACAAAGGAATTTATTATGAAATATCTTGTCACTTGCCTCAGAACAATCATTGCTTTTATAGATTTCATTACCATTTATGAATTCAGTTCAATGGCATTCAATAATAAGTCTTGAAACTAAAAAAACTCTTGCACAATGTCAGTCATTTCAGAAGAATCATTGCTTTCTACCATTTTATCACCATCCTCAAATTGTCTTGAATCTTCATCCAATTCCCTGCCAAGAAGCCCCAAAGTAAAGAAATTTCTTTTTTTCTTTCAAAAATATTCAGTCTGTCTTTTGGTTAAGCAAGACAATAAAATTTCAAGCTTTGGGCTATCACACACATGCTTTGTGTTAAGTCACGGAGAGATTTTGACCGGTCATATCTCTGATCATCCTCGGATGATAAGAGTGTTGAGCTGTGTTATTTGAGGTCAAAATGTTCAGAAAGAACAGACGACTTTGGAGGTATTTCTAATTTCCGGGAGCTCTCCTAGAATCGAAGGTAAATAACAGCCATTTCAATGTAAGAGAAATCATAAAAAAAAAAGAAGCCAATAGCACCAATAAATAGATGACCTTTTTTGATAGAGGTCAATTAAGGTTGTATCATGCCACAAGAGTTCAGAAAAATAAAGTTAGCATTTTATTAAAAAATCAGTTTTTGAAATCCTGGTCTCAAGTACTAAGCACTAGTCTCTTCCACCAAGCAGGTCATGGTGACATAAAAATTCTCAAGGTTTAGTCTGGCACAAGGCCAACTATAGGTTAAGAAGATTGTGTAGCACCAATCTTTTATGTTGGGAGGATGTGCTGGCCTTAATAATCAGTATTCAGATGCCAATCACTAGTGAATAAAATCACTGGCACAAGGCCAGGTCATTAAGAGGGATAACCAAGATCAGACTAATATCTTTGTAATGCAATCCAGGATAGCTCTTGTTGCCACTCAGGTGGGTACTGGACACTATTCAAGCAGCAAAATAGGCAGACATATTTATGAGTTCTGGCAAGATGATCCAAAGTTGCAAGAATTTGGTGCCGTTCAACTGAAGAAATAAGTTGACTTCAAAACCTGTTCTAAGTTGAATGTTCCTGAAAAAGTAAAAAAAAAAAGTAAATATAAAAAAAATCCCTATAGAAAAACTGTTTGGTTGATTTGTTTTTTTTATGGATTATCAACCTTCTGTGGGTTATTCAAAGCCAAAACATATTTTGGATTATAAGAGTAAATCTCTTTTTGGGGTGAAAATTGCATTAATTTTTAGGAGATAACCAAGGCTGGAGAACTCAGTCTGCCCTACTATTTAACCTATACTTTGGGAGGGGGGAAGAAGGGATTGGTTTATACCTTTTAGAAGGGTATTTTTATAAGTGAATATAACGAACTCAACTGGAATTAGAACTCAGCTATCCAATTCCTTATTCTGATTGACTGATTCATTCATTTTCTACAGCTTATCAGCCCATTGCAAGTTATTTAAAGCCAGAAAATATTTTTAGATTGTAAGAATATTTTTTTAAATAATAATGGTTTAGTGATACAAGTCTTACGAATTAACCCATAGCTGGAGGGAGAAAAAGGTAGATTCATACCTTTACCATGGGTATTTGCACATAAATGAATATGATGAACCCAGCTGAAATTGGAACTTGGCTGTCTGACTAACAATTCCGACCCATTATATATATATATATATATATATATAAAAAAATATAAAAGGCTCAAACACTAATATTCCATGATTATAATTTATTACATTGGAATCGTAAACACGATCCAATTCATCAGACATACAAATTCAAAAAGCTATGTCCTGGATATTGAGCTCTACCTGGGTTCTATTCTCTTGGAAATTAAATTTATATATATATGTGTGTGTGAAATAGCGTAATGCGAAATAACAGAGTCTAAGAATTTGAATGAAACCTTCTCTCAAGTGAATCCAAATAATACGAAGGTAAATTTTAAAGTGATAATTTAATTTAAATTGAAATATATTACCCTTTAAGAATCATTATTGATGATAAAATTATTTAAATTGGAATAACCTCTGATAATTATGTAGGTACCTAAAAACAGTCACGAGTTTAATTTATGAACAAAACTCAAACAAATAGATGTCAACTTAATAATCAACAAGAAAAAAGTTTAGGAAAATAAAAAAGATTACTAGATGTAAAATGAATTATTCTTTCAATGTACTTATGGATTTTTTTCCAATCGACTATTTCATAGAAAATACCCAAAACTCCAACAAACATCAAATTAAATTCTTCGTAGATTTTGTAGACATTTAGATTTATATCAAACTTTAACCCCCAAATATACCCTTTAAAGTAATGCGAAATAACAGCGTCCAAGAAATTGAGTGAAACCTTCTCTCATTAGGATTATTTTATTGGGTAAACCTAAGGAGGATAAAATCCAGAGAGCTCAATGTAAATCCAGAGCAAATAATTTAAATAAAAACAGACCACTTTAAGGTTCCATGTAATAAATTATTTCACCACAGCCAGGATTGCGGGAAATAATTTATTACATGGGACCTTAAAGTGGTCTGTTTTTTTAAAATTATATATATAAATATATATATATATATATATATATATATATATATATTTTTGGTTGATATCCAACCAAATATGTTAGCTTTATCTCTGATATTGAGCTTTCTAATAAGTACCCATATAATATATAAATAATTATATTTATTTATATTTATATACACACACTTTTCACACACACATATATATATATATATATATATATATATATATATAGAGAGAGAGAGAGCCTTAAGAAAGGGAGAAACACAGGATAGGGAGTTTTGGAGAGGCATGATGGTCCACACAGAGGAAGAAGAATGAAATTTGAAAATGTCAATGTTTCTAGACCAGACAATGCCCCTTTTGGACATTCACCGTGCAACCAGGAGAGCTGATCAGCAGCCCCCGGATGTGACAGCAGTGATTAAGGGATTAGTCCAGCTGCCTTGGACTGGTGTGTTGCATGTGACTATAGGAAATTATAACACGAACACTCAAAGTCAGTGCCATTCTACTGTAGGTGGAAATATCAAAAAGATAAACCTAACAAGAGTTATGGAATCAATCAATCGCTCAACCATACATCCTGTTGAGTGTGGCTTAATGTGTAACGATGCGGAGAATAGAATCAGCCAACCGAATTCAAACCATAACAATTCATTGATAAAATAATAAATCTGTAGAGAGGCATGAAAGCATACACCCTGAAGGGACATGAAACATGTTAAATAGCAAAGCAGACTGGGGTATCTAACCTTGGGTGTCTGTCAGTCTAGGAGAAGGAAAATTCTAAATTTAAAACCATGACAGTAGTGGAAACGACTCCAGTAATGTTCCCAATATGGTATGACAATTCACAGATAAAACAAAAGAATCTGTGGAGAGCTTTATTGATTGTTTTTTTTTACAGCTTATCAACCCATTGCAGGTTATTTAAAGCCAAAAAATATTTTTAGACTGTAAGAATTTTGTTTTTTGGGAGATAATAATGATTTAGTGATACAAGTTTTAATAATTAACCCATAGCTGGAGAGAGAAGAGGTGGATTTGAAATTTATTTTATTTTCTGTAAGTCCTTAATTAAGTAATTAATTCCCCTAGAGAGACATGTTTTGATTGATTTGTTCTTTTAATGGCACATCAACTACTTATGGGTCATTTAATGATGAAGTGTAATTTTCTTTGGAGATTTGAAGTAAAAATATGATATATGTTATTCTGCTTTCACAGTTGAATGAATGGTAGATGATACTCAGCTTTTGTGCCTATACATGTTTGTGAGGACATAATTACTAGAGGCAGAGTGTTTTATGTTGTAGTTTTATTGAAGTTATATTTTGGAATAAAGGAGTTTTTCCATGATGGTTGTTCGGTTGATTTTGATTAGCAGTATATCAACCTCTAATGCCAAAATCTAAATATTTTGAACACAATTTTATGGCTTCAACTAAATATACTTTGAACCTAATTGTATGCCTTCAACTATAGATGAAATGTATTGTTGGTAATTTTGTGTTAAAATGTATTGTTGATAATTTTACTAAATATGTATCATGTTGGTAATTTTTTTATATAAAAATGTATTGCTGGTATTTTTACTATAAAAATCTATTTTTATACTTTCATAGTGTTTTCTTTTTGTTAGGGGGGGGGTCACTATTTGTCCATAGTTGGGACCCTAACAAATGCTACCATCCCATGTCAGGGTGGATTTGGGAATAATAGCAATAAAGAGGTGGTTCCATGTTCCTCAAAACCACCAATCTCTCAATCAGAGGCCTTGCTGCCAGATGTAGTTTATCATCATACCAAGGACTATAGAGACTTGTTAATGTCAAATTTTTTTTTTTTTTTACCCTAAGAAATGATAACAAAAATGTCTTGATACTAACCTTTTTTTGGTACCTTACCAAGCATTGACTGCAATATTCGCTGATTGGGAACTTCTTGAAGACTGGAACCTCTACAGAGAGAGAAAGAGAGAAAAATTATGAAGATTCAGATCCAAATGTTATATCTGTCTATATTTCTGAGATGAAGTATTATTTACATTATTTGGACTATTGTCCTCATCTTTGTCGCCATATGGAAGGTGGTTGGAATGTTGAACTGAACCCTTTATTTCGCTCACTGGGGTAGACTGTTCTACTTCCACGTGTCATGTTTAATGGATGTCTGTTATCAGTTATCTCCTGTTAATTACCCACTTCAAGTTCTCCACTGCCTTAACCGGGTGTTGAACTCTCTTTTCTAACCAATGTCTTTATCCACTGTGCCATGCATCCTTGAGGACATCTGCGTATGAATTTCTGGGTATTATAAAACTAATGTCTCAGCAACTATTTTTACCATTGCTCATATAGCAATTTTTGTTGTTATTATCGCTTTTCTCTGGCACTCCTTATAACTGGTTCCCATATTGTATTCGTAAACTTAAGGAATCAGGACATATGCTAGACCACAAAAATCTCCTGAGCTGACGTTGATGAAAGGGTCATTCCCGGAATGATTATGATTATAAATCTCCTATGACAGACGAACTGAGAGACATCGATGAAAGGGTCATTCCCTCAGCAATTATGATTAGAAGTACAAGCCAAATTATCCCAGCATTGAAGATTGCCAGTAGATCCTACTGAAGAGTTATGGAAATATAATGGCTTGGGTTGTGTTACATTGTTGGAAGATAACTAGTTTCTAGGTTTAGTGTCTGTCCCATTATTAGATAGGGGACAGTAGTACTTTTGGAGATGGGGGCTTTATTACAGAATAAAACAGACAGGACCAGTATTGTTTGTAATTTGGGATCAGATATCAGGAAGGATTAAAAGAGCTCATGCTTATGATTTAAGATTAAGAGAGAAGATAAAAAAAGTAAGTATTGTAGAGCCAGAGGATGACAGATAGGCACATGATAAACAAGAAGGATGAAGTTTTGACATAGTCATGGGTGCTCCATATCTATAAAAAGGGCCCCCTAGGCATGTGTGGTGCAGGTGATCACTATCGAAATTAAATTCTCAGGTGTTGCCACAACAGTAGTTTACCTTAACTTAGAAAATTTGATGGTGACAAAGATGAGGACAATAGTCTGAATAATGTAAATAGTGTACATAATACCTCATCTCAGAAATATAGACAGATACTGAAGGGCAGAAACGTTGTGATAAATATGGCAACAAAGATGAAGACAATAGTCTGAATAATGTAAATAGTGTACATAATACTTCATTTCATAAATATAGACAGATAGTGAAGTGCCGAAACGTTGTAATAAATATGGCAACAAAGATGAGGACAATAGTCCGAATGATGTAAATAGTGTATATAATACTTCATCCCAGAAATATAGACAGATACTGAAGGGCAGAAACGTTGTGATAAATATGGCAACAAAGATGAAGACAATAGTCTGAATAATGTAAATAGTGTACATAATACTTCATCTCAGAAATATAGACAGAGACTACGAGGAAGATAATATAAACTGGTTAAGGGGTAATATGTAAACATTGAGGAGGGGTAGCCATAGAGATTATGAAGAATGAATTCTGGGAATTTGATAATTTTGTTCAGTAATATTTTCAATTAATGACAATTGCTAATAGGGACGTCACACTCAGTCAGTCAATTATGTGTCATGCATGATACACACTTAGGCAATCATGTATCTTTCGATACATGACTGACAAGGCAGATTTTTTCCCCGCAGTAGGTTGCCATTTCTTTTTGGCAGTAGACCAGTTGCCATCCAAGGCTATAGAACCAAGTCTGTCCTGCTATTTACCCATAGCTGCGGGGAGGAGAAGAGGATTTATACCTTACCCAAGGGTATTAGCACAGAAGTGAATGTAATGGATTCAACTGGAACTTGAACTCAGCTCTCTAATTCCTCAATCTGAGCCGCTATCCATTACCCCACTGTGCCTCCGAGCCAGTCCCTAATAACAGAACAATTAGGCAGAATTATAGGAGCCTATAGTAAAGAAATTCCCTGAGATAGCATTGAAGAAAATGCTCAAGTTATTAAAACCTGTGGAGAAAAAAGAAAATTGATTTTGAATAGTTGAAGATTAAATATAATAGCAGAGATAAACTCAATTTGGGAAGATAATTCTGAGACAATGGTAGACTGGTCAGCTATAAACATTAGAATAACAGTGATAAATAAGTACTATTAGTGCTGAGAAGACTTAGGAAGATGATAAACAAAGAGTACCGGCAGGTGTGCATGAGGGCAAGATGGGTCAAATTTGGTTGATAGAAATTCAATAAATGATTTGAAAATGGCACCTACAGTAGAGAAATTAAAGCTTGCTAGAGGAAAATTGAAACTCATACTCAGAGAAAGACTGAAGAGGAAAGATAAACTGTGAAAATGAAAAAGAAATTTGAAACTAATGAACTAAGTTGTAAGGGGTGATGCCATCCTCTATGTCAACTTATATAAGCTTAATACTGCCCTTCAAAAGTGTAAATTTTAAATTTATTTTTTCACCCTTGAAAGTGAAGTCTGAAGATCCAGAGAAAAATAAAATCTCTGGTGAAATAAATTATAACTAATGGAACCTTAAAGTGCTCTGTTTTTTCTTTAAATTATTCGCTCTGACTTAACATTGAGCTCTCCAGATTTCATCCGCCTTGGGATTATCCATATGGATTACCAAGATTTTCATTATATATATATATATATATATATATATATATATATTAAGCAATATTGAATAACCTTCCTAGTCAGAAGGTAAACAAGAGAAAAAAGTAACACTTACTTTGACGTTGTACAGAACTTTTTAAGAAGGTGCTTTGAGAGATCTTCAAGAATCGGTTGATTGTGTAATGCAACAAATTGTTCTCGGCAAATCTGGAAATAAAAATAAGATCAACTAGAGTTTATTGATTGAATCATTCTTTACAGCTTATCAACCTTTTTAGGTTATTTAAAGCCAGAAAGTATACTTTTTTTTTAGATTGTAAGAATTTTTTTTGAGATAATAATGATTTATTGATACGAGTCTTACTAATTATCCAATAGCTGGGGGAGAAGAGGTAGATTCATATCTTTCCCAAGGGTATTTGCATGTAAGTTTATATAATAAACCTGACTGGAACTGAAACTCAGCTCTCTGATTTCCAATTCCAAGCAATTATCCATTACACTATCTGCACATCCAAGCCTACAACACCAAGTGGTCACCCATCTAGATACTGACCAGGTTACAACATTACTTAACTCGATTGTACAGCAGTAGTTCGCAAATGGTGCGGAGTACCACATAGGTGTGTCGGAAGAGAATAGCAGGTGAGGCAGAAGGATTGAAAGACAATCAAAGATTTAGAAATGGTTTAAAAAATTCATATACCAAAAATAAATAGGATTTCAAAATTTAAAATATTATTATGGATTACTTGTAATTGCATGCATGAGTCCCAGTATAAATAGTTATAAATAATTACTGACCAATTTTATCATTGTGATATTTTTGCATTATATCAAGTATTAAGAATATAGTAACTAGGGTCTGCAAATTGGAGGAGAGAGTTATCAATGATAACATTCCAACTTCAAATCTGCAGTTATCTCTCTTTAACTCTCTCTCTGTGCCTTCTTTGCTGTACGGCTGCATGTACCTTTTTCACCGGGACTTCCCTTTGGCGAGGCACGAGCAATTTTTAATTCTGCAAATGTGGCCCAGAGGAAAAAGTTCAGGAACTATTGTCGTATGGGAAGCAATGTGATGTGATTGTAAGAGCAAGAAAGTTTACACAATGTTATAAAAACAGATATTAAAAAAGAAAAGAGGAATAGAAACAATAAAAAATACAGCCACAGTAAATGGCAATAAGAAAAGAACAAAAGGCAAACATGGACTTTTGTGCCTGCAATATAAAGTGTAACCCGGATATAAGAGAGTTGTTGGGACCGGAGAAGAAGTCTCTTATATCCGGGTTTGGTCTATATGTATACATTAACACAGACTCTAATTTGGGACCAGAGAAAATCTCTCTTATATCTGGGTTACACTGTATCAGCATATAAAATGGGTGCTTTTTTCCCCCCCATTATACTTTAATTAATTTTAACTATCTTCACTCTTTAGCAATGTTCATTGTTTTAAAAAGCGTTGATTAAAATTGTAGTCAGTCAGTTATGTGCTATGCGTGATACACGTATCTTTGATACATGACTGACAAGGCAGATTTTTTTCACACAGTAGGTTGCCATTTCTTTTTGTGGTAAACCAGTTGCCATCCAAGGCTATAGAACCATGTCTATCCTGCTATTTACGCATAGCTGGTGGGAGAAGTAGAGGATTCATACCTTTCCCAAGGGTATTAGCACATAAGTGAATGTAATGGATTTGACTGGGATTCGAACTCGGATCTCCAATTCCTCAATCCAAGCCGATATCCATTACTCCACCATGCCTCCTTGTAACAAAACCTAAATATGATTTTTTGTTCTTGAGAATTTACAACAAACATATTAAACACTATTTTTTATTATAAATTCTCAAAAACAAACAAAAAAAAAATGTATAAATTTAAAATAAAAGCCGTGTCAAGGGATAAAAAACTGTCCTTTTGATACTGTTTTATTTTTGTTATTTTTTTTGTGGGCATGAAGGGCCATGTTTACCCTCTAATGTTTGACCATTCCATATCTTCCTGATTACTTTAAGTTTGTATAGTTCTCAATTAATCTGATTTGAGTGATTCCTTTTTTTTTTTACAGCTTATCAACCCTTTGCAGGTTATTTAAAGCCAAAAAATATTTTTAGATTGTAAGAATTTTTCTTCTTCACTTTTTTTTTGTAAAGTAATAATGGTTTAGTGATACAAGTTTTACTAATTAACCCATAGCTGTGGATTCATATCTAATCAGAATTTGATAAACTAGAAAATTATAATGTGGCTATTAAATAGGGGATCAATTTTTTCTATTACAAAATATATAAGCTGATTCCTCACTTTGTGACCATCGTAGTTTCTATACATTCTATACAGAATGTAAATAAATCTAAGACATGACTACAATAAATTATAAAGTGGCTATAAATTGGGGGATCAATTTTATATTACAATCAATATATGAACTGATCACTCACTTTGTGGCCACTGTAGTTTCTATACATTTATATTCTACAGAATGTAAATAAATCTAAAAGACATGACTACAACAAATTATAACATGATTATAAAGTGGGGGATCAATTTTATATTGCTATCAATATATAAACTGATCCTTCACTTTGTGGCCATTGTAATTTCTATATTAGAGAATGTAAATAAATCTAAAAGACAAGCATTAAATTTTTAGTCTTAAATGTAATACAATTGTGTTAGTTTTTAGAATGTTGTAAAAATAAACTGATTCTTGTAAATAAACAATTTAATACATAGTTTTTAACATTTTTTTTTGTCAATTCTCAAAAACAAAAAAATGTTTATATTACAATTTTAATCACCGCTTTTTAAAACAATAAACATCACCAAAGAGTGAAACTAATTAAAATAAAAGTGGTATCAATGAGAAGAAAAACATGTCCTTCTGACACATCATCTTTTTTATGGGCAAGATGGTCCATGTTTGCTCAAAATAGCTGACTGGTTTTCATACCTCTTTCAACATAGCTTGTTTGCAGAATTAAAAAGACAGGTGGAAGAAAAATGAGGATAAGAAATATACAACTCTCAATAATATATTGACTTACATATACTTTTACCATAAACAGATTATATTGAGAAAAATAAAGGTGAGGAAATGTTGGTGAGAAGATTATGCTGCATCAGGCTAATGAGGATAAAAATCTGCATTCAAAATCCTGGCTTCTACCCGGGCTCAAACTATCACGGGTGTCATTAAGAAGTAGACAATGATTGATATTTACTCAGGAGGGGAAAGGAGTACCAAGAATGTGTTGCAACAATTCTTCAAGTGGGAAGGGCCAGTCTGGCTTAAAAATCAGCATTCAAAACCTTGGCTTTTTTTTTTTACTGGGTTTGAATACCAGAGCAAGGAGTAAATATGAAATCACCCTCACTATTAGGAAAGATTTGACAAGGAAAGATATATTCGGAGAAGGACAGTATTGCATGAAGTAGAGAAAATCTATCTGCCTTAAAAATCAACAAAATTTTTAACAGGAACATTAACCTCTGGAGTTAGGGAGGAATATATAACTATCTCAACCAGCATATAGGTCTTTTTCATGTTTTTTTTTTTTTACAGACCCACTTTTGTCTTTCTCTTCTTCTCATCTGCCTTTCAATTCTGTTTGTTTGTCATCTTCCCTGTTCATAAGAGCAGGAAGTCACTGCAGATTCTGATGATATGTAGGATAGATAACGGTTGACCCTAGACTTGAAGAGGTTAAAATTGTAGCGATTGAAGAGAAGTATCCTCTCGGGCAGAAGCTGTCTGAGTGGAACTTCCTCCTTACTAATGGAATACTAAAAGAATGAGAATGATTTGATCCTGTGTACATGACATGGCGGGCCCTAACTCTAAAGTTGGTGGAACTAAGGAATGTAGGGTATTTGAACATTTGCCATGAAAATTGTGATAGAGTAGATGTTTTATGACATTTTGTCTGTGGCAAATGAGCTATAATGAGATATTTACTGAATCTAACTCAGTTATTAGTCACCTTTTTCACTGAGTCTAAGTATATACTGGCCAGCCCAGGGATTGAACTCACAATTACTGTTACCAAATTCACAGGCCAATGCTATAATCAATTAGGGACGATCCTGGGTGGAGAACTTGGAGACTTAAACCTGACCTGCCTGCAGATTAGTGCTACTGCTGCTTGTCATGCTTGACTGCATTCACTGAAGCTTTCTGGTTGTTGGTCAGATTTGAAACTTAATCCTTTTTTCCTCATGAAGTCTGTATGTCATCCACAAATAGCAACTATGCCTCGAGAAAAATAATGGATAACGTTTTGTTACCCCCATCCAAAAAACACAATTTGGAGTAGATTTATGGCTAGAAAAGGGTACACTACCTGAGTTAAAAATTATTATTATTATTATTTCTTGTCTTTTTTCTTTATATTTTTGTTAAAAAAGACTTCCTCTCCTAATGGGGCAATCTACACACCTCAAAGGATTTTTCACTTTAAACTTGCTAAAATAAATATATTTTCTTTAATAAAACATTTAAATCCAGTACCAAATTATTTGCAAAAAAAAAAAAAAATAAATTTTTTGTTGTCTATGTTTAGAGAATGAGATCCAAGAATTTGTGAGAAATGAAATGAATCATATACCTTATTCATGATTTCCACGCTGGCAGGGTGGGTCCAGAAGCAGTCATGGACTGAAACATATGTAATACCTTCTCTGAAAGAGAAATCAATTAATAAAATATTTAAAAAAAAAAAAAAAAAAAAAAAATGGAAGTGAGAGAGAGAGAGGAAAAAATTGTCATTTGATCAAAGAAAAAAGCAATATCTATAACACTAGCTTAAAAACCGTCCTATCTGGTGACATTTAAGCTAGCTCCTGTGGATGGCTCTTGATTGGACCTTCGGCTTGTTCAAGAGTTTGAGAGTTCCTAAGTCTTTACAAGTTCTTAGCATTGGAAGCTCTCCTGGCTGCCGTTTGATCTAGTTTTTCATTTTCATGTGATGCAATCTGGTCCACTGTTGACAGAGATTTCTTTTTGCAAGGTATACGGCTGATGTATGCAATAGGCAACAATAAACTACAGAAGAACTCAAAATTGATCGCTGCATTAAGTATTGCATTACTATTTAACCTTACCTTTTAAAAGTTTAATGATAATTCTTCTGCCACCACTTACTTTAAAGACAGTTTGATGTACGTAGGTCCTTACTTTATGTACAAACAATTATTTTTATTTCATGAGTGACTCAAAATTAATTTTGATTATTCCCAAGTTTATGTCCAATTTCTAAAAACTGTTATCATACAAAATCAAAATAAAAAAAGAAAGAAAAATTGCTGAAAACAATCACAGTAATGAAAAGTTGGGAATCCCAAATTTTTCTAACATTAGAGAGTTGTGTCCCTTTAATTGTTTTTTATCAGTAGAAGTAAAGATGGTGGAATCTGAAAACAATTGCAAAAATGAAAACTTAGAAATCCAAAATTTCTGGATTGTGATTCCAGATCTGACTCAGAATATTTTTTATTTGGCCATGGAATCAACCTGATTCCAAAATATATATATTAAATATATTTTGGACTATGGCCTTTAGGATTAAAGCTGAAAAAGTATGACATTCACATTTATTATATAGTAGAAAAAAAAACAAACTTTAAAATTTGAATTTCAGCCTTCAGATTATTTTGTTTAACTCATTAAAATTAAAAAAAAGCAAAGAAAAATAAATAGTGTTACCATGGAAACAGAGATAAGCCCATACTTACTCTTTCACTATTTTGTTTCTTTCCTACTTTTGCATTTAGGTCTGCCATGATGATAGTAATTTTACGTGATTTGTATTAACATTTGGTATTATCTAGTATATTGTTAAAATGATCTATTTCTACTCTGTGTTTTGTGATGTGGATATGTATATTACAGTGATGGCTATATTGAATATCTTCCCTTTCACATTCTACTAAAATGTATTTTATTACTGTAAAATAATTTATTATTTTCCTTTCAACTACAAATTCAATGAGTGTTTACTTGTCCCTGACCGCTTTTATCTTTGCTTTTTCTCTTTTCTTGTTGAGTGAGAGTAGCAGCTAGAAGACATCTTCTTTATCCCTTTCTTTCTTGTCACCTAGACAAGAAAATACAGAAGTAACTCAGAGTTCATAAACTCGTTCTAATCAAGGAAACAAACCACCATTCACAATAATTGCCAAACAACTAAAAAAAACATTTTTCTTAAAAGACAAGTTGAGCTTTCTAGGACTTGCCATTTTTGACTTTCATGAATTGAGAAAAAGGATCTGTGGGCAACCCAATTTAGAAAATTCCAGCACTTTTCAAGGAGCTTTTGAGCGATTGCTTTTTTTTTTTCCAGGACTTTTCATGCCCTGGAATAAGTCCTGTCAATTTTCCAGGACTTTTCAAAAGTTTCCAGGACCTGTATAAACCCCTGTAATATTAATCCTACTTCTCTTTCATTTCTCTCACTGCTTGCATATGATCCCATGATTGTCATTTGTGAAGTCCCCATTGCGTATCCATCTAGTTTCTAATACTCCAAGAATATTGATATTCAGCCTTTCCATTTCCTGTTTGAAATTTTCAAACTGGTAGAGAGCCTTATCATTCCTTGCCCTGACATAGTCAACTAGTATTATATGTCTCCACATGTCACATAGCAAGCTGAATTCTAACAGGCTGATATAATGTAAAAAAAAGAAAAAAAAGTGAATGGGCGCTTAAAAAATTGCCAATATAAAAGGAAGGTAACTTTAAAAACTGAATTCTTAGAACATAAATTAACAACATACAATTACGTAGAATTTATCAGATGTTAATTCCCTACACGTTTTCAATGATAAAATGCATATTTACACCCCTTTTTTTTCTATTAATCCATGAATTCTAAACCGCTGTGAGTTACTTCACTTTTATAATTTTCAATTGTGTATATGGGTTGTTTTGCAGATGAATGCTATTAGGTAAATTTTCTACCTCACAGTCCATTGCATTTAAAGATTAAATTATAAATTTTGTTGTGATATTTTGTTCAACTAAAATGGTTAATGTTGCATTTGGGTGTTCTAGTGGATATGATTTGCTAAAAAAGAGCATAGCGTGATGAAAGAGGGCCTTAAACTTGATGAAAATAATTTTTTACTGTCTAAATGTTTATGTTATTATCAAGAGGAAAGATCAAAGTATTTTGGGGTATTTTGTTTACATTTTTTTAACCATTTCTAGCACGTCTATAATTTTTAACAAAATCTTGAGTCAGCGAAATTGACAGAAAATCGATCATGTCAACCATTTTTTTTTCCATTTTATAAACAAAAATGAAAATCTCCATTTAAAATTCTTTTAAAAATCAATTATAATATTTTCAAAATTTATTTTAAGAAAATTATAAATTATAAAGTTTATTTAGAATATTTTGAAATAAACATTACTTACTTTCCGTGCTGAAAAAATGTAGTTTAAAAATAAGACAAAGCAGGTCTTAACATTTGGTGTCACTTGACAATTGATGAGTGATGATTTCATCATGTATTGATAGCTTACACGAGGGAAAGTTATCGTACGGAAGGACAGAAGTGACATAATTATTTAGATTTAAGTGAACCAATTATTTACTTAGTTATTTTTAAGGAAAACTTTTAGTGCTCTAATTTTTTTTGTTCGTTTTTTGTACTTAGCTTTCACCTTTACAATGCTTTCTGGAAAATATATTATTGTAAAAAATAAAATAAAATAAGACTGTTGAGAGTGAGATAAAATTTCATAAGAAAGGTATCTAATTAATTTATAGGTACCTTTCTTATGAAATTTTATCAGAAGTGTACATAAAATACTATAATTTTATGTACATTTATTACATTTTACTGTGTTATTTGTATTTCCATTCATTTTATTATTAATTTTGATATTTCATTTATGGAAAAATGACATAGCTGAGATTCATATAAAAATAAGAACATATAAATTTCATAAGATGATACAAATACTTGTAGGTACCCTTCTCAGTTGAAATTGAAAAATCAAATTAACTTCATACAGGTTTCACATGAACAATTTGCAAAAATAAAGGCCGTAACAGAGGGGAACAACACTTATACTAACTCAAATAACATGATGTTTTATTGTTTTCATATACGGTCTTTCGTACATTTGAATTACAGCCATTTTATGGACACAAAAGCCATGCAAAATTGGATTTTTAGTACATTGGTGGTCCGTTGATTGTAATAAGCTTTACATTTTATAATCTGTAAAGATAGATCTATCTACTTAATAACACACCATTGACTAAACTGTATTAATAATTTACAGTAAGGCCAAATATATCTTCAAAATAGATCTGACCTCTGAACTGTTTGAACTTACCTGAGACAATAGAGAGCAGTCAGCAACATGTGTGTTGAATCTAAAGAGTGAATGAAGTTGGGAGGAAAAGCATTTTTCTGTTTCAGTGAATTTGGTTTTCTAGGGATGAGAAAAAAAAGTTAACGAATTAAAAATAAAATATAGAAAATAATTATCTACTGGTCACCATTTCAAAAATGATCTAATATCTATTAAAAATCATTTTTCTGTCTGTCTGCCTAGCACAGCATTTCTCAACTTATATTTTTTTTACTTTAGGGTGAACTTGTAAAATAACTAAAACTCTGGGATGCGCATTGAATTTTGATAAGGAAAAATTAGTCATGAAATTTGAAATTTTGGTTTAGCATTCTCAAAGAAGAATAGCAGTACAGTTTACATTTAAAGGAATTTTTGAAGGATCTGGTAATTTTTTTTAGTGAGTCTGGTAATGACTGATTTAAATCCCTTGAGGAAGGCAAAAGGGAAAGGATTATCCATTTCTTCTTAAAGATTAAAGAGTCTAGCATCCCATTTAAAATATCAAATGAAAAAACTTGATTTAGACATGGAAGCCATGTGCTTGGTGTCTTTAGCTTTTTAAAAATAAAGATTTATTTTAAATATAAAATAATTCATAAATTACTTTTCTGTTTATGCAGACCTATGTTTATAGATTTTTATGTATACATGTGTTTTATTGATTATGCAAAAGAGTTTGATAAAAATAGGTCACAAAACTGTTGGAACTGCTATGTAACCATAACATATTTGGGAAAGCTTAAATCATACAGGCTGTGATGGGTAAATCATCACCATTTTATATTTTTAATTCTGCATTGTCTGTTTTTGATTGTGTTGACTTCACAGTATGGTAGGGTCAGTTGGGCACTGCCTGTGAGAAAAAAAAGCACCATGAAGTAATTCACTCCACCAGAAATTTGGAAATGGCATGCTGTACTGCTTGGCATTCATGCTGGAAGCTCCAATATGAACATTTCAAAGTGTTTGGGTGCCGATTTGAGGACAGTGCAGAGTATTTGGAAAGAATTGGATGAGTCTAATGGTGATCACAAAAATATGACAGCTTGGAAAACTCTTTCTAATGAGAAAAGAACTCTGGAATTTGTTGATGAGTGTCTCAGACTCAACACTACATCAAATGACTTGGGGAAGTAGTGTTACCCTGGCTCAAGAGGGTAGCTGCTGAAAGACCCATGCCACACAAGCAGGAGAACCCAGTCATGGCTTTCAGACAATTTCTGTGACCTTATATCTTGCTACCTAACTCACCAGACTGCAACCCCTTTGATTATTACGTGTGGGTCACAGTTGAGTGAGAGATCAACTCCTTGTAACACCAAGGATGAAGTGAAGGCAAGGATTATGGCAGCATTTACCAACTTAAACAAGGAGACCATCCAGAAGAGTTGCAGGAGATTTCAAAGTCATCTGGAGGCTGTGGTTGAAGCTAATGGTGATTTTATTGAATAAATTTATTCTTTAATATTTCAAGATATTTTTGTGTAATTTTGGTAAATATATCTTAAAATAAGATGTCAGTGTTATTTTCATTTTCATGTCATTTATAGAACAATTTATCCATTGCCCCTTGTATAATAAATATCTGTCTTTTTATTTATATATTTCCTGTTTTATTTGTAGCAGGAAAAGAGGTGAATCAACTTAAGTAAATTTATGAGGGATTACTTCCCTTAGTTATTTTAATAATCTCTATAAATAAAATATTTATCTGCATTTAGGCAAGCAAAATTAGTTCCAAAGGAAAAATGGACAGTTTAATTAGTCAGCTTCTTTACTCCTATGTTTTTTAGATTGTAGCCTCATTTGTTCAAGCCTTTCATGTGAGGTACGCAGAATCCTTTGTTTATTAAGTGACTGTCTTTCTTCAACTTGGTCTTCAGACAGATTTTGTTGTCATTGTCTGTCACTCTGTTGCTGATCTTTTTCTCCCTACGGATGTTTCCATTTCACTGTTATATTAAACACACAAAATTTTTAACATGAAAAGATTTTGAGCAAAAAGCAATTTCTATAATATTAAGAGTAATCAGCAGATTGTCTAAAAAAAAATAAAGGGTATGAATTAATCTTTAGGAGACTGGAGGCAAAAATCTTCACCATAGCATCCTAAAGGTTAAATAAATAAATTAAATTGTTTATTGGTTTCTATTTTAGTTGTGAAGTTTTTATGTCCACTTTATTGAATCTCAAACATTATTTCAAGACTTTTGTTTTGTTGTATTTCATGATTTAAACTTTCTAACACTATTTTTTTTGATAACATAGGTACACTGAAATTAGAATAATCCCAAAATTATACTGGGAGCAAATACAGATAAAAAATAAATTCAGTAAATGCACAAAAAAATAGAAAGGAGCATAAGACAAAGATGTGTCTTCTCACCAGACTTATTAAGCAGTTACAATGAAGCAATCATGAGAGAATTACAAGTCCTACCAGGATTCATTATTGGTGGCCACAATCTTAACAAAGTAAGATTTGCAGATGACAGTGTTGATAGCAGACATAGAAAAGTAACTACAGAAACTCCTACAGAAGGTAGTAAAAGAAAATTATCTGAGATAACTCATTTTACTTTCCATCAGTATGGCCGATGCTAACCCTCAGGAGAATGACTCATTGTGCCTTCTCAGACTAATGTTTTTACTGGCATGAAGTAGAAAAGATTATATTGAATCCATTTTCTAAGTCTGCTGCTAAGAAAGTTGGTTTGCTATGTCATGCAAGACAATTTTTCTTGCCAGAAACTATCTTACATATGTATAAGTCTACTATTTGTCTCTGCTTTGAATATTGCTGCCACATCTGGTTTGGTGCTCCTGCTATATATTTAGAAATTCTTGATAAAATTCAAAGAATCTGCAATGTTATTTGTCCTGATCTGGCATCTCAGATTCAGTCACTTTCCCACTGTTGTAATGTAGCTTCCCTGTGCCTTTTCTATGAATATTTTCATAATAATTATTTGGATGAACTTTCCTCTATTGTATCTAGACTTTATGAATTTAAATGCAGTACTAGATTGGCAGCAAGGTCTCATCATGTTACAGTTGAAATGGATAAATGTAACAGTAAATTCTAACAGTTTTTTCTATCACACTTCTTGTCTGTGGAACTCTCTTCCAGCTTCTTGCTTTCCTGTCAACTTTGATCTTCAAAAATTTAAATGCAATGTCAATCGTTATTTACTGTCTTCCTGATTACTCATCTATTGTTCTCGCTCAATTTTCCCATGTGGAACTCTCTTCCGGCTTCTTGCTTTCCTGTCAACTTTGATCTTCAAAAATTTAAATGCAATGTCAATCGTTAACTTTTGCGTTCTTAATCGTTCTTTTAGTGTCCTTTCTACTTAATAATAGTTTTTTTCTCATATTCTCTAACACTCAGTAACCTCTTGTGTCCTAGTGGCTTTATTGTTTTGCTTGGGGTGAAATGATTAAAAATAAAATAAAAAAAAGAAGGACCTTTAAAAAGAGAGAAAGATAACCAGGAAGAGATAATTCAGTGGAAGAGATTAAAGAATTCAGATTAGTTACATGTCTGAAGATCATGATTGACATTTCATATTTAGGAGGTCTGGAGAATGTGCCAAGAGAAATTTTTTTTTTTTTTTTTAAATGTTTTTTGATGGTTAAATTTATTTCTGAAAATGACATCTTTCTTCACTCATTTTTGATAATTTAGGTATTCAATTTATCTGGAATTTTGGATCATCTGAACGTTTTTTAAACTCCTGATTCAACATCTTCTGGATGATCAATGAAATTGTGGTAGGTAACGCAACAACTCAACTGATGATAGCAGGTAGGAACAAAGAAACCCGGTGTCGCACGTCCAACCTTCTCACGAGCCGAAAGCTCTCTGATTCGAAACAGCAAAACGAGCCTGCTTTATACAGCCGCGGACCGACCACGATTTGCATGCGAATGACGAGACAACGAGATTTCGCATTAACTAACCAAGACCGCCCGGCATAAAATATAGGCGCCGCCATTTTGGTTTCTTTTGCCGTTGGAAGGACCAGAGTTTGCATACTGCGCAGATTCGAACACGTTTCCGAGGTAAGCCATTTTCACAATTTTCCCCACAAACAAACATACAAACACTTCTTTCATTACAAATCTTTTGGTAAATTCAAATTTCAAACAACACCATTTCAAAAGGTCTGCATAGAATAGACGGTCCCCTACTCAGCATCTCCCTCTTGTTTATGTGCGGCATCACAGTGTTATTCATGGCTATCTGTAGTTTTTGCAAATAAGTATGTTACAGACATATGTATGCAACAGGCTGGAAAAATTATTGGTTTCTTATACCACTTCAGAAAATACAAGACACCGCTTACTATGATCCGTCTTTACAAGAATCAAACCAAACCAAAAATACATTTCTGCTGCCATATCTGGGCTGGAGTTACTCAAATCCTCACTTTTATGTTGGAAAGTAATGAAAATTAAGTTTTTTTTTTTTCTTCTTTTGTAAAACATGTAAAGCAACATGTTGATATTTTACTCTGTCAAATTTTTGATGGTAGTCGGTTGACTTTCTATTGACCTTCAGTTATTGAAAATGAAGAGGGTGATTTCTATTTTTGATAAATAACATTTAAATAAATTAAACTTAAATTTCTTTTTCATATGCTCTCTCTCGTCCGGTTCATACTCCTCCCCAGTCTTCTGAAGAGGAGTAGAGGTTTCCTGTTTAGGATAGGGTTTCCAGTTCCTTCTAAAATCTTTTTAATCTCTTTCACACCCAGGAACCTCTTGCCTTGCTTTGAGCAAAGTGATTAAAAAAAAAAAAAAAAAAAAGTGACCCTCCCCCTTAACTGCTTGAATCAATTTAATTCATAAATCATTGGACAGGAATGAAACATATATTTACAAATCAAAACAAAATTATACTCACTCAAAAGTGGACATAGAGTTTGATAGAGAAACACCCCACCTCTGAAATGTACTCATTTTATGATAGGGTTGTACCACAGGCAGTCCAAGGGGGGTAATCCATTCAACTGGGCGCAGACTCAGTGTGGCTATGTGGTGGGCACAAAACGTGAGCCACATCTGAAAAGATTATGCAAGAATGAAGAAATCAGGCTAAGAGATAAAAGACATTAATTTTTTTTTTTCCATGAAGTATTTTTGCTACATTTTATTACTAGTTTGATTCCATCTTATTATTGATGCTTTTTATCCCTACCCTCTGGCCAGATCCACTCTTCATTATTCCTATTATTTTATTACTAGTTTCAATCCATCTTATTATTGATGCTTTTTATCCCAACCCTCTGGCAGGTCCACTCTTCATTATTCCTATTATTTTATTACTAGTTTCAATCCATCTTATTATTGATGCTTTTTTATCACAACCCTCTGGCCAGATCCACTCTTCATTATTCCTATTATTTTATTACGAGTTTCATTCCATCTTATTATTGATGCTTTTTAACCAACCATCTGGACAGATCCACTCTTCATTGTTCCTATTATTTTATTACTAGTTTCTTTCCATCTTATAATTGATGCTTTTTATCCCAACCCTCTGGCCAGATCCACTCTTCATTATTCCTATTATTTTATTACTAGTTTCATTCCATCTTATTATTGATGCTTTTTATCCCAACCCTCTGGCCAGATCCACTCTTCATTATTCCTATTATTTTATTACTAGTTTCATTCCATCTTATTATTGATGCTTTTATCCCAACCCTCTGGACAGATCCACTCTTCATTATTACTATTATTTTATTACTAGTTTAATTCCATCTTATTATTGATGCTTTTATCCCAACCCTCTGACAGATCCATTCATCCTCTTCATTATTCCTATTATTTTATTACCATCTTATTATTGATGCTTTTTATCCCAACCCTCTGGACAGATCCACTCTTCATTATTCCTATTATTTTATTACTAGTTTCATTCCATCTTATTATTGATGCTTTTTATCCCAACCCTCTGGACAGATCCACTCTTCATTATTCCTATTATTTTATTACTAGTTTCATTCCATCTTATTATTGATGCTTTTTATCCCAACCCTCTGGACAGATCCACTCTTCATTATTCCTATTATTTTATTACTAGTTTCATTCCATCTTATTTTTGATGCCATTTATTATTGATGCCAACCCTCTGGCCAGATCCACTCTTCATTATTCCTATTATTTTATTACTAGTTTCATTCCATCTTATTATTGATGCTTTTTATCCCAACCCTCTGGCCAGATCCACTCTTCATTATTCCTATTATTTTATTACTAGTTTCATTCCATCTTATTATTGATTTTTTTTCCCAACCTCTGGCCAGATTATTCCTATTATTTTATTACTAGTTTCATTCCATCTTATTATTGATTCTTTTTATCCCAACCCTCTGGCCAGATCCACTCATCATTATTCCTATTATTTTATTACTAGTTTCATTCCATCTTATTATTGATGCTTTTTATCCCAACCCTCTGGCCAGATCCACATTATTCTTCATTATTCCTATTATTTTATTATTTTATTACTAGTTTCATTCCATCTTATTATTGATGCTTTTTTTATCCCAACCCTCTGGCCAGATCCACTCTTCCTATTATTCCTATTATTTTATTACTAGTTTCATTCCATCTTATTATTGATGCTTTTTATCCCAACCCTCTGGCCAGATCCACTCTTCATTATTCCTATTATTTTATTACTAGTTTCATTCCATCTTATTATTGATGCTTTTTATCCCAACCCTCTGGCCAGATCCACTCTTCATTATTTTTATTACCATTCCTATTATTTTATTACTAGTTTCATTCCATCTTATTATTGATGCTTTTTATCCCAACCCTCTGGCCAGATCCACTCTTCATTATTCCTATTATTTTATTATCTTTTTTATTCCATCTTATTATTATTCCATCTTATTGATGCTTTTATCCCAACCCTTCTGGCCAGATCCACTCTTCATTATTCCATCTTTTCATTATTGATGCTTTTTATCCCAACCCTCTGGCCAGATCCACTCTTTATTCCTATTATTCCTATTATTTTATTACTAGTTTTCATTCCATCTTATTATTGATGCTTTTTATCCCAACCCTCTGGCCAGATCCACTCTTCATTATTCCTATTATTTTATTACTAGTTTTTTTCCCAACTTATTATTGATCCCTTTATTCCTATTATTTTAACCCCATCTGATGCCATCCCATCCATCCACTCTTCATTATTCCTATTATTTTATTACTAGTTTTATTCCATCTTATTATTGATGCTTTTTATCCCAACCCTCTGGCCAGATCCACTTTCATTATTCCTATTATTTTATTACTAGTTTCATTCCATCTTATTATTGATGCTTTTTATCCCAACCCTCTGGCCAGATCCACTCTTCATTATTCCTCCTTTTATTATTATTTTTATTATTGATGCTTTTTATCCCAACCCTCTGGCCAGATTTTCATTATTCCCATTTCTTCCATTTATTGATGCTTTTTATCCCAACCCTCTGGCCAGATCCACTCTTCATTATTCCTATTATTTTATTACTAGTTTTATTCCATCTTATTATTGATGCTTTTTATCCCAACCTCTGGCCAGATCCACTCTTCATTATTCCTATTATTTTATTACTAGTTTCATTCCATCTTATTATTGATGCTTTTTATCCCAACCCTCTGGCCAGATCCACTCTTCATTATTCCTATTATTTTATTACTAGTTTCATTCCATCTTATTATTGATGCTTTTTATCCCTACCCTCTGGCCAGATCCATTCTTCATTATTCCTATTATTTTATTACTAGTTTCATTCCATCTTATTATTGATGCTTTTTATCCCAACCCTCTGGCCAGATCCACTCTTCATTATTCCTATTATTTTATTACTAGTTTCATTCCATCTTATTATTGATGCTTTTTATCCCAACCCTCTGGCCAGATCCACTCTTCATTATTCCTATTATTTTATTCCTTTTATTCCATTTATTATTGATGTTTTATTCCATCTTCATTATTCCTATTATTTTATTACTAGTTTCATTCCATCTTATTATCCTTTTTATCCCAACCTCTGGCCAGATCCACTCTTCATTATTCCTATTATTTTATTACTAGTTTCATTCCATCTTATTATTGATGCTTTTTTATCCCAACCCTCTGGCCAGATCCACTCTTCATTATTCCTATTATTTTATTACTAGTTTCATTCCATCTTATTATTGATGCTTTTTTATCCCAACCCTCTGGCCAGATCCACTCTTCATTATTCCTATTATTTTATTACTAGTTTCATTCCATCTTATTATTGATGCTTTTTATCCCAACCCTCTGGCCAGATCCACTCTTCATTATTCCTATTATTTTATTACTAGTTTTATTCCATCTTATTATTGATGCTTTTTATCCCAACCCTCTGGCCAGATCCACTCTTCATTATTCCTATTATTTTATTACTAGTTTCATTCCATCTTATTATTGATGATTTTATCCCAACCCTCTGGCCAGATCCACTCTTCATTATTCCTATTATTTTATTACTAGTTTCATTCCATCTTATTATTGATGCTTTTTATCCCAACCCTCTGGCCAGATCCACTCTTCATTATTCCTATTATTTTATTACTAGTTTTATTCCATCTTATTATTGATGCTTTTATCCCAACCCTCTGGCCAGATCCACTCTTCATTATTCCTATTATTTTATTACTAGTTTTATTCCATCTTATTATTGATGCTTTTTATCCCAACCCTCTGGCCAGATCCACTCTTCATTATTCCTATTATTTTATTACTAGTTTTTCCATCTTATTATTGATTCCATCTTTTATTATTGATGCTTTTTATCCCAACCCCATCTTATTATTGATGCTTTTTATCCCAACCTCTGGCCAGATCCACTCTTCATTATTCCTATTATTTTATTACTAGTTTCATTCCATCTTATTATTGATGCTTTTTATCCCATTGGCCAGATCCACTTTCATTATTCCTATTATTTTATTACTAGTTTTCATTCCATCTTATTATTGATGCTTTTTTATCCCAACCTCTGGCTAGATCCATTTTCATTATTCCTATTATTTTATTACCCTCTGGCCAGATCCACTTCTTCATTATTCCTAGTTTTATTCCATCTTATTATTGATGCTTTTTTATCCCAACCTCTGGCCAGATCCACTCTTCATTATTCCTATTATTTTATTACTAGTTTCATTCCATCTTATTATTGATGCTTTTTATCCCAACCCTCTGGCCAGATCCACTCTTCATTATTCCTATTATTTTATTACTAGTTTTATTCCATCTTATTATTGATGCTTTTTATCCCAACCCTCTGGCCAGATCCACTTTCATTATTCCTATTATTTTATTACTAGTTTCATTCCATCTTATTATTGATGCTTTTTTATCCCAACCCTCTGGCCAGATCCACTCTTCATTATTCCTATTATTTTATTACTAGTTTTATTCCATCTTATTATTGATGCTTTTTATCCCAACCCTCTGGCCAGATCCACTCTTCATTATTCCTATTATTTTATTACTAGTTTTATTCCATCTTATTATTGATGCTTTTTTATCCCAACCCTCTGGCCAGATCCACTCTTCATTATTCCTATTATTTTTTATTACTAGTTTCATTCCATCTTATTGATGCTTTTTATCCCAACCCTCTGTTCCATCCACCATTCTTTTATTCCTATTATTTTATTTTATTATCTTATTATTGATGCTTTTATCCATCAACCCATTCCATCTGGCCAGATCCACTCTTCATTATTCCTATTATTTTATTACTAGTTTCATTCCATCTTATTATTGATGCTTTTATCCCAACCCTCTGGCCAGATCCACTCTTCATTATTCCTATTATTTTATTACTAGTTTCATTCCATCTTATTATTGATTTTTTATCCCAACCTTATTCCTATGGCCAGATCCATTATTGATGCTTTTTTTATCCCAACCCTTCCATTCTTCATTATTATTTTTTATTACTAGTTTCATTCCATCTTATTATTGATGCTTTTTATCCCAACCTCTTATTCTTCATTATTCCTATTATTTTATTACTAGTTTC